TCTGGGCATCGTTGGAGTTAAACTGCACGCACGTCCTAAAACAAGACGAGATGCCGAGAACCACTCCGAACGGCCCAGCCCTGGAAACGACGCAGGGATGGTGACCAGCAGAGACCTGCAGGTCCCCCAGGTGTTCTTAGCAGCTGTGGCAGGGAGAGATGGGCCACGTACAAGAGAGTCGTCCAACACACAAGGATGCTGGCACGGGTGCCCCGCTCGAACAAGCTTCCCACGTGGGCCCCGGATGCAGCGGGGGAACGCACGACTGCGGGACGGGCAGGGCACTGGGGACCAAGGGCGGAACGAAACCTGGGCTCCTTTGGATTACAGCGCCCAGTGGCCTGAGGGCCTCCACTTCCTATGCAGAAAACTTCTGGGGGAAAAACAGAGAGAAAACATGATTAGACAAAGTGTTTTACTGTTAGAAATCCAAACGGGTCTGGGCTCGGTGGCTCAGCCTGTAATCCCAGCACTTTGGGAGGCCTAGGTGAGCAAATTGCCTGAACCCACGGGTTCAAGACCTGCCTGGGCAATTTTTGTCTCTACAATAAATCAAAAACTAGCCGGGCGTGGTAGCACACGCCTGTAATTCTGGCTACTTGGAAGGCTGAGGTGGAAGGATCACCGGAGCCCAGCAGGTCGAGGCTGCGGTGGCAGGGAGTGGCTACTGCACTCTAGTCCGGGCAACAGAGTGAGACTCCAACTCAAAAAAAGAAAAAAGTAAAGAAATCCAAACTGCTGTTTCTGAGTTTGTTTGTCAAACATCTCACACAAACCAAAGACAGGCTCTACTCCTTGCCCGGCCATGCTGTCCACTAAGTTCCCGACTCCGTCCCACAGTCCATGGGTGTGGGAGAGGTGGGAGGGGAAGAAGGGAAAGCGGGTGGGGTCCTGGGAGAGACTGGGGGACGGACAGGGTAGCAAGAGTGGTTTTCCAGGGCGTTGTCTTGGTCTGTGGCACTGCCACAGCAACCGGCTGCAGGCCAGGGCACCGACAAGGAACAGATGAGCTACTCACGATGGTGGAGGCCGGAGTCCAGGACCAGGCACTGGTGAGCTGGGTGTCCCCGGGAGCTGCTCTCTGCTGGCAAGGTGGCGCCAGAGGCCAACGCTGTGTCCTCATGTGGCAGACAGTGGTGGAAGAGGTGCCCAACCCTGAGAGAAGTGTGTTTGAAAGCTTCTCCGTGCCATTCATGGGGAGGAGCTGTGTGACAGGCCACCTCCTGACAACCCCACGCCTTCCTGCGACTGCCCAGGTGATTGTTTCCACATCCCTGAGGGGACACACACGAGCGTTGCTCCCGTCACTGGTATGGAACGAGTCTAAGAAAACCAGCAAGCCCAGCACCGTTCCCAAGACAGACACGCAGCCCCTGAGCCCGCGTGGGGAGCCATACAGAGGCCTGGAGCGTTCAGGGCCATCCTCAGGGAGTGCAGGCTTTGAGTGGATGCACGTGGCTGACCTGTGTGGCCATAGCGGGTGGCCTTGGGGGAACAAATGAGGCCACCCTGGTCTCCTCCACCGTCTGCTGCTGGCCAAGCCAAGTGCAGACAGAAGCAAAGTGCACGCGTGTGACTGGGAAATCCACCATGGCAGCCGCTTGCCCCAAGGGCTGAGGAACAGGTCAGGCAGGGATCTGGAGGAGCGGGACCTTCCGTCCCTTTGCCCTCGGCGTCCACTCCTGGCCTTGTCACAGGGAAAAGGCACACCCCCAACACCCCATCAGCCACCGTGTCACCACAGTGTGGTGTCAATGTGGCCCTCTTCCCACCTAGACACTGACATCGGAGCCCTACCGTGCCCTTCGTGGGGTCGGGTAGAAGAGAGGAAACCAGCGGGGCAGCCGGCGGACCACGGCCACGGCCGCACCGATGTCCCAGGCACTAGAGACCCCACTGACCATCGCGGGGCCGTCGACCCTCCCCACCCTCACCCGCACCTCTGCAGACGAAGTCCTCAGCCTGAGGGTGGGGTGGGCCTCCCTCCCAGGAACGGGACGCCTGATGTTCCTGTCCTTCCGAGCCACCGCGGTTCCACTGACGAGTCCCCGAGCGCACTGTGACCGTGACTCCCCTTGGTCAGACAGAAGACGCTGCCGTGGCGGCAGGCTCGCCTCTCCCCGCCAGGCCCGCCGCCTTCGGCCCTCAGGCCATGTCATTCTCTGCATCAGACATGAGTGCCTCCAAGCACAGCCTACAACCTCACCTCCTTTCAAAGCAAGACCTCTTGCGCCTCTACTCCAAGGTTGAGAGACGCCCGTCCTGCTAGGGATGGCCCCTTATAAGGAAGCAGGAAATTCGGTCGCCCCCCGCCAGGAGGACGCACCCACCCCAGCTCCCGTGTCCGGTGACAGGGTCTCACTTGAGAGCCATGGCTGGTGCTCGCCGTCTCCCCACGCTGCACTCGCGAGCAATCACCGCCCCCTCTCTGGCCGTCGTCCGGCCTGGCTCCTCTTTGCTCTCCCAGATTTCTCACCCTCGACCAGGGATCTTCACACAGCGCAGGCCCTGCGTGTCTTGCCGTGCCCCGCGCCCTCGGTGCCGCCCCAGGCCCCGGCACTAAACCTCGAGCCTCGCTCTGCCGCGGAGCCGCCGCCGAGCCCAGACGGCCCCACCACCTCCAGCCGCACCCCGCCTACCCGCCCCGCCCCACCCGACGCTCCCCGCTCCCTGGACACCCAGCGGTGCCCCTCCCGGACAGCCTCCCCGGTGCTCGCGCTCCAGCCTCGCTCCGCGTGGTCGTCCCTCCTCCACGCGTCCGACCCGGTCGTCGTCCAAAGCGCCCCCGCGTCCTAACCCATCCCTGCTTCATGTCCTCCGTCGCACGCATCCACACACGCCCCCACATGCGTCTCTTCTGTGGTATTTACACGGGGACGCCATTCCACAAGCACCATCTACGCAGTGCCCACCACCCCAGCCAGGCATGGCGTTAACAGCCAGTGAGTTCACACTGAATGTCGAATCAGCGAATGAGTGACTGATTTCATGGGTGGGGATACCCCAGAGAAGCGGGGTGTTGGGAGGCAGGGCAGGCGTGGGGGTGCCGGGCTGCTTCCGGTGCCCGGCGGGGCCCTCCGAGGCAGTGGCGTCTGCGCAGGGGCCCGAGTGCTGGCAGGGAAGGACCTTGCCGCGCTTTGGGACGCGTGTTCTGGGCAGGGCCCGCAGGGCAGGAACTGGACCGAAGGCGGGGAGGAGCTGCCCGGGTCCGGGGCCGGCAGAGCATGCCGGGAGACAGCAGTTGCACGCGGGTGGGGTGACACAGGGTGTGCGTGGAAGCTCAAGCCTCATCCTCCAGGGACGGGAAGCCTGGAGGAAGCCAGAAGAGTCCTTTCTAACGGCTGTCGTTGTGAAGTTTGCTGTGGCTCGAGAAATAACAGCAACTCAGGGAAAGGGGCGTGGCGGGTGGGGTGAGGAGGGGCTGACACACCGTCGTTGGAGCCAGGGCTGATGGGGCTCCCGCTGCCACCCACGGGCAGGGCTGGGGAGGGGCACCAGGGCACCTCTGGGCCTCTGGAACACATCTGACATCCTGGAAGGCCGTGAGGCTCTGGAGAAGCTTCCAGGTTAGGATCAATGTCCTTCCACTCAGGGTCAATTTCTAGAGGATTGGCCAGGCCAGGCGCAAGATCAGACGCTCAAATCACTGCGCTGAGATGATTCAAGAGGAGAGAGGAAGGACTCCCGACCCTAGCAAACCCTGGAAGTGACACCATCCGTCACCCCCAAACTCAGCTGGTCTCTCCGGGCATCTGGACCCTGAGTCCCCGGGGCTAACCCTGGTTTTCCCTGCAGGAGCCTGCAGTGTACATGTGCTCCCTCCCCCAGACCGGTGATCTGCAGGGCCTTCGGGACACTGGGGTGGGGGCAACCACAACCACCTTCCTGTCTGGGGCAGGGAATGCAGTCACGGCTGCCCGTGGCTCTGACCTTCCAGGAGAGACGCCCCGCTCTCCAGGCCTCCCAGGACCACCCTGCAGTGCTGGCGCCATGGGTGTTCATCAGGGTAGAACGTCCGGCCCTCGCCTCCACCCCCTCTTCTCTGGAGCACAGAGCTCAGAGCTCAGAGGTTCGCAGCCTTCCCTGCACGTCTCACCGTCAGGCCTGCCCTCCCCTACAGGCCTCTCTCGGGGCGAAACAGGGGTGTCCCCAAGCCGCGGCATTGCTCTGGCCACAACAGGCTCGCTTCAACCCCTGCCTCCTTCCTTTCAGAAGGAGGGCTGAGCCACGCAGCACGTCAGCGCAGACCAGACAGCAGAGAGCCTTGATGCGGGCAGACCGTCCCATTCCCCGAGAAGGGCCAGAGACTTGCAAGACGCTTCTCCACGTGTCTGCGATCGGCCAGCCCATCTGTGAAACGGGCCCACACTAGCAGCTGCCTCTCCTGCTTGGCACCAAGAATGAAGTCGCGGAATGACTGACTGCACGGCAACTTGCAGGGGTGGTCACAGCGACATTCGGGAAGAAGAGTGACACAGCCAAAGACTCAGGATGTGCAAGTGTTTATTGAGGTCGAACAAACATGTTACATCTCTATGGTTATCATGATAAATATCAGTATCAGCCTTATGCTCAAGTAGCAATATCAAATGATGTTTCTATAAATAAATCCATATTAATAAAATGATATAAATAAAAGGCAAACTTATAATAATAAATAAGTTCATAAATATTAAGTATTGATTATACAAGCATGACGTTACTTGGGTTTTTTTTCTGTAAAGGAAAGAGAAGCCATTTTTTAATGGAAATAGACCATTGTCTGAAAAAATAAATTAATTTCTGTGTATAAAACACCAGTTACAATAAAATGCCATCACCATAAAAAATCCTGTGCTGGGAAGTCTGGTCATAGAGGAAAGTGGCGTGGGCTTCCTTCTCGAATGGGTGGTCGGAATCCCGCCAGCTGGCGGAGTGTGGCTTCCCTTTCCCTTGCAGTGCGGGTCCTGGGTATTTCGAGCAAGAAGAGGGGCCGCTGTTCGTTCCCAGTGTGGCTCCCATCAGGCGCAGGCATTCATCAGGTGCATGAACAGAAGGTCCAGCTCCCCGATGGCCTTGATCTCTCCACCCTCTCCGAGCTGAGAAGTGAGAGCACAGAGCATGTGGGTGCGGGCGCCAGGTTCCCTCGGGGGAGCACATCAGAGAGAAACGGCGTTATCAGGCCGTGGGCAAGAACCCACACTTCAGCCCTTTGGCAAGAGTACAGTGCCGTCTAGCCAAGCCCTTGGGGTCAAGGGTGCCCATGGGTATCGCTCGGGTGACCTCGCACTGGTGAAGCTGTCTACAGCTGGTGCAGGCGACCCCCTCCTTACAGGGCGAGCAACAGGGTCCCTGCTGTCTCCACCACAGCCACACAGCCCATGTCTGTGCACAACCGTCTGCCGCGCAGCCCAGAGCCACACGTTACCAACCCACCAGGGCTCCTTCTCTTCCCACCCTCTTGACAAAGAGACAAAAAAACAAGTTTCCACTTTTCTGGGGAGGTACTAGCTAAGTCCTTCCCGCTTGCTGGAATTCCTAAGAGCCAGACACATGCCCCGACGCTCACTCCTTCTCCTCCTTCCAAGTCACGGGCAGAAGGGGCTCCCACACTCGGTGGGAGAGAAAACCCACGTTCAAGTCCAGAGCACGACAAGTTCATTCATTCCTCCGACCGAGCGTGTCTGCGTTTTTCCAAGAACATGCCTCCTGTCGCTGTCCCCATCAGAACTTCCTGCCCCTCACCCCTCCACCTTTCCATCCTTCCTTTGACACGATGCCAAAAGGACGCCATCGCAAAGACGCCCAGGGCCCACAGGGCTGTGAGGCTGCCTGCCCCCCATCTGCCGCATCCTGCCACGTGAAACCTGCCCTCGCCCTGCCTGTGACAGGGACCACGCCTTTCTCATCAGACAGCCCTGGCCTGTGTGTCCGCCTGCCTGGCGGTCTCTGGGGACAGTCCTCTCCTGTGTGCTTCCTGGAGCTGAGGGAATAAAGCACCCCCACTGCCAGGATGGTGGCGGGCCTCTAGATGGCCAAAGGGCCTGGAAATCTACGTACCCACCCAGATGCCCGTGAGATTTTCCTCTCCCTCTCTTCACTTTTCTAAAGACAACACAGCCAGCTGACACCAAGAACCTTCCAGACACAACGCACCAAGCATACTTGTCTACGGCAGCCAGCAGCCGGCCCTCCATGCCTGGATGATTATTCCACAAGAGTCGGCTTCCAGATGGAAAGCCTTTGACCAGCAACGGAGGACACAGGCGTGTTCACAAAATGGTGCTCGGGAGAAATCAAGTTCCAAAAAAAACCAGGTAGAAAAAAGGGAGCACAGAGGCCGGAGGCTCAGCCCACTCCTGAAGTCCCACCGAGAGCCTCTGCGCGCCCGGCATCTCCGCCCCCGACTCTAGGCTGAGCCACAGCTGCACGTCTGTGCTTCCCACTGCCGTCCTCTTCAAGGAATAGACCACACACGGTCTCCCTCACCGCGGACACGTGACTAGTCACGGGAGACAGAGGCACACGAGGGACTTGCTGGGAGAGAGAGGATGGAAGTGCGAACGGAAGGCAAGGAGCGGGGAAGTAGAAAGCCGCAACCCAGATCCCTCCTGACCACGAAGAGCCCTCCTCACCCCTCCGCTCCGCCCAGCCTGTGTGAAGGAGCCGGGTTGTCCGCCCTTGCTTCTAAACCAAGATCAGTCGCTGTTGGGGTTTGTGACAATTAAACTCAAGCATCCGTCGTTCCCGAAACTGCCTGCTCGCACGTCCAGCTTTTAGTTGCTGCTCTGAGTGTTTTCCCTCCAAGTTTTAAAAGCACCCAACTAACGGCTTCAAAACCCACTGCCCATAAACCGGCCCCCGGCACTTTTCTGTCTTTCAACGCGCACGTCTTCAGGCTGAGAAGTCTCCCTGAGAATTAATAACCAAGTTGCTCTAGAAGCGTGCGAGCCAGGGGCGTGGGGACTGAGCTCCAGCCCGGCACTGCCGTGGCCGCCCCAGCACGTGGGTGGCGCGCTGGACAGGCTGATTTCCAGCCCATCCCCGAATGCCGTGACTTCCAGAAACTGGAGACTGACTCACAGACGTGAAGACGCATCTAGTGCCCGGACACACAGGCAATCCACCAGGCGGCAGGAGAGCCAGGGGAAGAGGGAGGACTCGACACAGTCCCTCCTGAGGGTGACAGGTGAACTCATAGGCAGGAGAGCCGGGGGAGGGGGGAGGATCCAGCACTGTCTCCCCTGGAGGTGACAGACACCACAGGCGGGGGGTGGGAGGGTGGAGGAAGGACTCAGCACTGTCCTCTGAGGGTGACAGACACAGGCAGGAGAGCCAGGGGAGGAGGAGGGACACCGTACCTGCCGCACGGTGTCCTTCAGCTTCTGCACGTTCCTCTGGATGTGCTGGTCGTCGCCCTCGAGGTGCTGGAGAGGAAAGTGAGAGCCGTGACCGGTGCCGCTGCACTGAAGCCCTGAAGCCGGCGCCCAATGGAGGCTGAGGCTCGGTGGCCCGCCCACAGCGACCCAGATTCCACCAGTGACCCAGATCTCAGGGCCCTCGAACTCCCTGGACACCGGGCCCCGCCCCTCCCCTGCACAGGGCCCTCTCACAGTCCTGGGAAGTCCTGCGGCCTGAGCTTGTGGGCAGAGGGAGTGGTTATGCAGACGGAAACCCAGCCCGGCTGCCTCCAGCCTCCACGAGTGGAGTCAAGACGGGGACGAGCCCCCTCTGGCCTCGGCGCTCGCCGCTGGGATCTGAGCTCAGTGTGAAGGCTGCAGAGGCATCGAGGCCCTCAGCGCTGACACCATCACCCCACGTGACACAGGTGGTGCCCACCCAGCACCAACTCACCCTGCGGTTTCCCTCCGTCTCTCTCATGGTCCCCCCCCACCCCGATCCCTGCCAACCCAGGGGTCTGCTTCCACCTCTGGGCTCTCTGCTTTCAACACCCAACGCCCTTCTGGTCGCACACGGCCCGAGTCACTTGCTCCAGGGACAAGCACGCGGACTTCCACGCCCTTGACTTCCAGGCCCGCCCTGGGCTCAAGGTGAGACCCAGGAAGAAGCGCGAACACACTCGTGCCCCGACCCGGCAGCAAGGGCCCCCAGGAGGGTGGCGGGGTGGGCAGGGGCACTCACGCAGAGGCCCAGCTGGCCGCCGAGCCGGGCCAGGAAGGGCAGCACCTCCTGCATGTGCGGCTGGAACCGGTGGGCCTGGGGCAGCAGCACCTCCTCCAGCGTGAAGTTCAGCACCTGCTTCATCAGGTAGCAGTGCTCGCTCTCCTGCAGGGACAGCGGGCAGCGTGAGAGGCCGCCGGGGCCTGGTGACACCCCCGCCGGCAGGCACCCGGCCCGGGCCCTGCAGCCCCTCGAGACTCACGTTGACTCCGTGGAACAGCTTGTCCCCAATGAGGCGGACATCGGTGTTGTTGTCAGCCAGGCTGGCCTGGAAGGGAGAGAAGGCCGGAGCCTGACTCGGGGGACGGGAGGAGGTCAGGAAGTGGAGACGGCTCCCCACTCCCCAGGGCCGTCAGGGAAGACCAAGGGAGGGAAGGCTGGAGCCTGACTCGGGGACAGAAGGAAGTTGGGAAGTGGAGACAGCCCCCACCCTCCCCAGGGCGACTCAGTAAGACAGAATATACACATATGTTTAAAAAGTACACCCTTGGCCATTGTAGGAAGTGTTTTCCTTCCATTCTGGGGCCATGTTGAAGGGGCCCTAACAATTACAGGAGAAGCCAACATAGCTTCAGATTGTACTCACTGAACTACACTTGTTCTCCTTAAGTTTCCAAACACTAACACTGAATAATCTGGTCGTCAATTTTCCTAACATGCCAATTTTTTTGGAAGAGCCATGACTTTAGAACAATGTCCAGGGGCCTAAAAGAAAAAACGATCACCAAGTGGGATACAGAATGGCTCTCCCTTGGATGAGACTCGATGGATGTCTCCGGAAGGCCGGAGTCCTGGTCTCGGAAGAGACACAGGAAACCATCTCCCTGCAGGGTTGAGGGTGGCCCTGGAGGTGCCGGAGTGCCAGGAACAGGCTCGAGCCCTGGAGGTGTGAGGAGAGCGGGGGACAGGCTCGGGCACTGTCAGGCTCCCAGCTGGTCAGCGGCCTGTGCCCACCCCCCAGGAGGGCCCCATGCCTACCTCCTGTGCCAGCATGAAGGTACGGTTGGTGATGTACGGCTGCTGGAAGTTGGACCTGTCCAGGCTGCAGTGTGAACCCACGGGTGCCGCGGCCGTTCCCTGCACCCACAAGGCAACGAGGAGGAGGAGGCAGCCGGTGGCCAGCGTCCCCAGGACGGAGGAGCTCATGGACTTTTGCAGGGCGGCCATCGTAGACGTGGCTATCAGGGTGCTGGCGGCTGGCAAAGGAGAACCTGGCGTCAAGAAAGCAAGAGGCGAGGACGGCGTGAGGGCGCGAGCGAGCTGGGCCCCCTCTCCGCCGGACCAGCGGCCCAAGCTCGCCGGGCACCCACCTGCTCCGGTGGTGGCGTGTGCCGGGGAGGGAGCAGCCATGGCTTTTATAGCCCCAGGACACCAAGAGTTTTTTTACGCGAGGAGTGTGACATCAGCAGTTATCTAATTTCCAGCAGAGTCTTCTGAGAACACCTAACCACCGCAGGAGGCCACAAAACGCCACCTCCAGCCTTCCACCTTGCCGGCAAGCCTTCCCAACCACGTCACGACGAGGCCCCGAGGTGCTTTCTCAGACAAATCCCAGAAATTTCCTAGCCCTACGCATTTTTCGAAGAAAATAGCTGCTTTGTCTTGGTAGAGTCCAGGTTGGGTATGATGCCCTTTGATCTCTCACTGAGTAAGCGTTTTGGTCACGGACGCATCTTCCCGCCCGCTTCAGAGATGCTTATCTCACTGGAGGTGACCAGAAATAAGGGACGTGTGTCCTGTGTCCTGTTTCCTCTGCTGTAAAGTAAATGGTTGTGTGACCTGGGAGATCATTCCGGTCTTTAAAATAATTGTGCCTCATTGTTTAACATGCTAAATCCTAAGCCAGACTTATGTTTTCAAAGTAGCGGTCTTGGCTGCTCCAAGTATTGGTTCCTTCCCACTCTGGGACTATTTTCAAGTGATTGTAACAGCAATGATAGAGGCAAATATATCTTCAGATTGTATTCACTGAATCATCACCACCAGCCATTTACGTTTGGAAGCTCTCGGGCTGAACAGTCTGACCACCGTTTTTCTCAACGTGCAAGCTTCTTAAAAAATCAGAGAACACTGTGGATCCGTAATTCATCTTGAAACTTTACCTGACTAATTCCAGACAGACAAGCCTCAAAATACTATCCCCAAATGACCCGAGAACACTTTGATTGCACCCGCGTGGATGTCTGAGGAGGAGAGTCCAGGGATACAGCGGCTCCGTGCTGCCCGTGGCCAGCCGTGTGCTGAATCCTGGACAACCCCTGAGCGGAAGCCCCTGGGGCTGGAGGCAGGAGCAGCTCCCGGCGAGCCTGTGGCCGGGCAGGAACGTGCATGTGTGCGAAGGTGTCAGGTCCGAGTCTCCTGCGCACAACCAGTCCAGAGCAGGAGCCCACTGCCCCGGGAGAAGGGACACGGATCTCTGCAGACCGGGGCCCGTGAGGGGCGCACACCTGAGTGAGGTGCCCAAGAAGTATCACCCGCAGGGACACGGCATCTCAGCAGGCGGCCCCCAGAGGACGAGGCCCTCAGGGACGAGGCAGGGCAAGAAGTTGAGAGGATGGATGGACCCACGAGGCCACATGGACACGGGGATCTGGAGACTTCGGGGGAGAGAGAGATGGTGGGCACCAGGGTTGGGCGGGGAGTGGGGAGTCAGAGGCCATAAAGTCGGGAACCAAGGGCAATCAGCCAAGAGGCCTACTGTGAGTCACAGTGGCTACAGCTGATAGCAATAGACTGCTTCAAAATTGCCAGAAGCACAGTTGTTGCAGGTTCCCAGAACACACAAAATCCAGTGAATGTGTGAGACAGCACGCAGGTCAGCTGCTGCTCTTAGCCATCCCACAATGTGCGCACACACCAACACCCACGTGGAGTCAGCCTATGTGTCCAAAAGGGGATGAATTAGGGTAGAGGAACGCGGCATCCTCACACCACAGGGCACGGCTCAGCCCTGTAAGAGGAGGGAAGCGTGTCACCTGCAGGGCGCCAGGTGCCGTGGTGAGCCGGCCCAGAGACAGACGCTGCACGGCCTCCCTCAGATGTAGGCTCTTCATCAGCCACCAGCGCGTGGGGCAGAGAGTGAGCCTGGCCAGGAGATGGGGGCGGGAAGGAGGACAGGGAGGTTGGCCGGCGCGGACACAGCGCCAGCCGCGGGGAGGAAGCGTCGGGCCCAGCCATACGTGGATGCTGTGCCTGACGGTCAGCACGTGCCACGAGACAGCTGGCAGCGGCCTTCCAGGTTTTCGCCACAAAGCAACGGCGAGCATGCGAGCGGTGGGGACACGAACCGCCCCGTGGCCTCACGTGCAGCAAGATGTGGATCAGACGTCATGCTGTGCCCGCAGATCTGTGCAGCTGTCACGTGTCCACTTAAAAATAAGTCATTGTTTTAAAACATCATGTCGTGCAACCGACATTTTTATACAATTTTTATTTATCAATTAAGATAAAATGCCTTTTTTCTAAAACAAAGCCGGGCCTGTAGCAGACATTTGCATGAAGTTGACTCTTCCCTGTCCAGTTCCTCTCATAGAAAGGGAAAGCCAACTCGTGACCTTCCTACCTCTGCCTTCGAAAGTGCTGGGATTCCAGGCATGGGCCACTGCACCCGGCCTTCAGCGATGCATTTTTTGTTGTTGTTGTTTTGAGTTGGAGTCTCGCTCTGTCACCCAGACTGGAGTGCAGTGGCCGCTCCCCTCCGCAGCCTCGACCTGCTGGGCTCCGGCGATCCTTCCGCCTCAGCCTTCCAAGAAGCTGGAACTACAGGCACGCACTACCATGCCGGCTAATTTTTTATTTATTGTAGAGATGAGGTCTCGCCAAGTTGCCCAGGCGAGTCTCAAACCCGCGGGCTTAGGCAATCCACTCACCTCAGCCTCCCAAAGCGTGGGATGACAGGCTGAGCCACCGAGCCTGGTTTTTTTTTTTTTTTTTTTTTTTTTTTGAGTAGGAGTCTCACTGTGTCACCCAGGCTGGAGTGCAGTGGCACGCTCACAGCCACCCCAGCGTCAACCTGCTGGGCTCCAGCGATCCTTCCACCTCAGCCTTCCAAGTAGCTGGAACTACAGGCGTGCGCTACCATGCCGGGCTCATTTTTTGTAGAGACGAGGTCTTGCCAAGTTGCCTGGACTGGTCTCGAACCCACAGGCTCGGACAGTCCTCTCGCCTCTGCCTCACAAAGTGCTGGGATGATGGGCGTGGGCCACCGTGCGATGCATTCTTTAAGACGTACATTCTTCGAACAGAAAGAAGACGTTTGGAGCTTGGGTTAAAAGGATTGTATTCATCACACTCCTCGGCCCAACGCACACACACAAATCATGGCTCCACACATTTCCTTATGTGTGTGTGTGTGATCCCACACTCACCACTCTCCTCGCCACCCTACGCCCGCCGCCATCCCCACCCCCCACAGGCCACGGCTCTGGCACGTGCTGTGCCTTTTCAAGTGTCTTTATCCCTGCTGGGTGTGTGGGGACGCCTGCCCCCCGGGATCCCTCCTCACCGTCTCGGTCCAGACAGTCCCGCCGTCTACCCCTGTGGCTGCAGGTGGCCCCCTGCTCGGCGTGGTGCCCCAGAGTGCGCGGCCCCCACACCTGCCTGGGCCCACCCCAGGGAAGGGCACCGCCTGCCGCCTGCCCCGCCCTCCACGAGCGCCTCCGTCTGCTCCTTCCCGGGGGCTTTGGGAGCGTGCCCCGGGCAGGTGCTGATCCCAGGCTGGGCCGCCTGGCATGGACTCGCTACGGTCTGGGCTGTCCGGAAACATGGCAGCCATGAGCGAGGCTTCCTCCCCTTCCTCCCATCCCACCCACGCTCGGCGCTGCCCAGCTGCAGCCTCGCCAGCCTGTGGAGGCCCGAGATGCCGTCTCATTGTTGTTTTAATTTGCATGTCTCCACACACTTGCAGCACTTGGGTTTCCCCCTTTTGTGAAATGACGACTCCCTTGGCTGTCTTCTTCTCACGGGCTTGGTCTGGCCCTGCTGCAGGTGACTTGCAAGAGTTCCCTGTGTCTTTTGGGTATTGTTACTCCAGGCCGGTCTCCAACCCCTGACCTCAGGCAATCCTACACCTCAGCCTCCTGACCAGCTGCCACTGTAGGTGTGTGCCACCCAGTCTGGCTAATTCTGTAATTTTAGAGATGACGTCTTGCTATGTTGCCCAGGCTGGTCTCCAGCTCCTGGCCTCCAGCCCTCCTCCCACCTTGGTGGACCTTAAAAACTCCTTCTCCCAATGTGTGACCTGTCTATCGACTGTGTCTATGTGGCTTGTCGAACAGAAAGCTTCATTGGGTGTCATCTGAGACGCTATTTTTCATGGCATGGTCTGCACGTTTCAAGGTTTTGTTGCAGAGTCCCTCTCTCTCCGAGTGGCAAAGTCATCCTTCTGTCTGGCCTCCTATCTCTCCCACAGCCTCACCTCTCACAGCCAAGCCCTTTGTGCATGCTTGTATGTGATGGGAGGTGCCCAGTGTTCTCCAGGTAACAGACTCATTTCCTGACACAGCCCCGAACAATGAGTCCTCATCACGTGTGAAATTCCCATGTGTGTAAATAGCTGTCTCTGAGTTCTCTGTTTTGTTCTGTCGGTTTGTTCATGTTCTAATGAATGAACGAATGGGATCATGAATGAATGAAGCTTGGGCCTCCTTCCTTTTGTCCCACACCTCGTGTGAAGCTCATTGTCTCTGACTCGTTTGCTCGGCGACCTCACCAGACGCCCCTTTCACCCCATCCTTGCAGCCGTGCACGTTCACAGTTTCCCTACTCGTCTATGGACATGTGACGCATGGGGACACCGCCCGTCCAGCCTGTCACGTGGCCAAGACCGCCTCTACCTGGCTGCCAAGCTCAGTCCCCCTGCCCTCTCATTCAAGTACTTATGCTACCTCCAAAGGCTTGTTAATTAACGCAGCAGACATAACAAACTAATTAGCTAGGACGAAGGGCGACCCAAAAGCCTAGAATGTATTTACAAAAATTGTGTCTTTATTCTTAGGTGTTTACACTCCAGTCACCTTCAAAGTACTTTCCATCTGATGCAATACTGCTATCGAGATGCTTTTTCCACTGCTCAAAACGGTTTTTGAACTCATCCATTCTGATGCTTGAGTGCTTCTGCCAATTTTTTGTTTCACATGGTCAAAACATTTCCTTCAGGGGATTTTCTC